CAAAATCATTTCCGATAATACAGAAGATATTAACAAAACCATTTCCGATAATACAGAAAATATTATCAACGATAATATAGAAGATATTAACAAAATCATTTCCAATAATACAGAAGATATTAACAAAACCATTTCCGATAATACAGAAAAAATTATCAACGATAATACAGAAGATATTAACAAAATCATTTCCGATAATACAGAAGATATTAACAAAACCATTTCCGATAATACAGAAAATATTATCAACGATAATACAGAAGGTATTAACAAAATCATTTCCGATAATACAGAAGTTATTAACAAAATCATTTCCGATAATACAGAAAATATTACCAAATCCATTTCCGATAATACAGAAGATATTAACAAAACCATTTTCAATAATACAGAAGATATTAACAAAACTATTTTCGGTAATTCTGAAGAGATTAGCGAATCCATTTCCAATGCCGAAGATCGTAACGAAGCCAATGGTTCTGTCGGATCAGATTTTGTTAGAGCACACGTTTACTTTGTCGATGGAATCAGTAATAATGCTAAAAAAGTAATTGTGAAACCTTTTACAAAATCTTCAATTGAGACCTTTCAATTTTCATTCATTGATAAACGTCAAATTCACTTGACCACTCTGAATCATCAAAGAGGATTATTTCAATCTGTATTGGTAAAAATAACTCATGCTAAAACTCAATACCGTTTTGAGCTACAATCTCAACATACAACTTTGGGTCAAGTTAAAATCGAAAATAACAAATCATTTACAATTTTGGGAAAAGATACCATGTTCAAAAGAGATATTCGTGTTGGTGATTACTTAATCGTTGGAGAAGAGAAGCGACGGGTTTCCGAAATTGTTTGTAATAATGTATTGAAGGTTGCTCGTCCAAGTTTTGAACGTGTTAAGGTTGGACAATGGTTAAATTTCGAGATTGAGCAAATTACTACCAATAATGATCTTATTGATGTTTACGCTATGGTTTTTACAAAGTACGCAATAAATACTCCTATTGGGCAAATTGACAAGCCTATAAAAGCAACATTTGTGGTCGATGTTTCTGGAAGCTCTAAAACAATTTCTGCATATGAAACCAAAATTCGAAAGTATGTTGTTAAAATGTTCGAAAAGGTTAAAAAAGAAACCAAAAAACCTTCAGGTCACTTGAAACATTTCAAATCTGCGTATGCAATTTTTGAGAATCTTACCCTAGATGATGAAAGCACTGAATATCTCTTTGGAGAGTAAGTATTTTATAATTTCATGTTAGGAAGATATCGTTTTCTAATTCTGAATAATTTTTAGATGGATTATCTTGCTTTTCTGCTTGATCCCAATTCAAATTGCCATTGCCCGTGATAGCGTATTTGTACCTCTACAAGATGGGGTGTTCTCAACCGAACTAGATCAGCCCAATTTTGATGGATACGGATTAATTGGGAGTGTAAGCAAAGCTATATCTTTTGGTTGGTACGAAGCCATTTTTGAATACTACGCAGATTTAGAAGTTAAAGTAATATCGTCTATGGGCGAGCAATCATGTGGCAAGTGAATAATTAACTCTTATTTTAAGTTTTTTTTTGTAATAATCATTTAATTAAATTATTTCATTCAAAAAGGCAAGAGTTATTTGCTAAATCATTGTGTGGGTTCGACCTTTGACGGTTCTGCAATGGTAAGGGAAACTATATATTTGAAGTTGAATTCTGCTTTCATAATGATTGACAATATATTCCAATCTTTAGCGATGCACAGAAGGAGTATGGATGTCAGTTGGTATAGTATAGAAAAAATAATTTGTTTTATTAGCTGTTATTAGGGATATTCTTAATGCTATAATAAAATTAATTTGATTGAAAGTGAAAACCGATATTCTTTATGTTGCCTTGGATTTTGAAGGTAATATAGCATAAATTTACCTCTTTCCATAGCTATAGCTATATGAAGATCGTATTGATTTATTCGAATGTTACAGGCTTAGCGAGTATTGAGAGAACTCCGCAGGAAGAGACATTATTGCAGCTTTTCAATGCTGCCATTTCAAATCTTGTATTATTTAAGAGTCAATTTGCCGTTAGCCGGGACATTTCTTCAATGTTTCAACGCTTTCAAGATGGCACAAATTATTTCGGTGATGATTCGGATATGTTCCAAGTAAATAAATATTTATATAACCTTCAAAATGCATCAATATATTAACTACTAGATAACTCACTTTCGTGTAATATACTGTATTTTTTAGGCTCTATTTTGCGTCATTATTAAAGATGTGGCTAAAACTGATCGAAAAGACATTGTTTCCGAATTTCATTCTAAATTCAAAAGAATCGTTGATCAGGTATGCATTTTGTATATAGCTGTTTGACATAATAGAGGGAACGTTAGTAAAATCATTAAATATAGTAAATCTATATATTAAAAACAAATAAAAATGAAATTAATTGACTAATTTTGAATATAGGAAGAGAAGGATAATTTCATCACCAAATTATATTGTAATAAAATAAGCGTTTTTCCTTAGCCAGTATTCAATGAAGCCGCATTTTATACAACCTTTAAGGAATTAAAAGTTAAACTGGACGCCCAAGTTTCTAAGTACAATAATGCTAGGGCTTTTGTCGAAAAAATCAAGGTAGAGATATACTTCTTTAAAAAAAATTTTTTGAAAGATTTCATATCTGCTATTAATAATTTAAAATTATATTCTAATAATTCTAGGTGTTAATGACTAAATTAAAGTTTGTATTTTTTCCCTTTTTGTTTTCCGTTGATATTTCTTTTTTAATTCCGAATCTTATGTACATTCTCCTTTCAAGAATGTGTGATTGGGGTAATATACAAGCAACTTTTATCACAATGCGCGCGTTAGAAATCAAGAAATTTCTTAGCGACGCCATCTCTTTCGGATACGAACAAATAGACGACGATCCTTTTTCTAATCTTGATGAATTGGAGTTGAGAGTTAAGCCTTTACAGGTACTTATGATTTATGATGATTTTTAACTGAGAATTGAGTAAATTGTAGGAATTTCGTATTGAATAAAATAGGGACGTGATGATGGAATTTTAGTTCCTGACGATGTAGTGTTACTCTCAGAGGTTTTTGAATATATCGATGAGTCAGTTAAATTGATGCCTGATACTGGACTTGTATTACTACAGAATGGAAAGGATTTGGTCGAGCTTTCATATGGTAAAATCCATTATCATTTAGTATTACAATATTGGCAAGTTTTAATAATTAAGTTTCATTAGATTTAAGAACTTATTTTGAAAAAAACATCCACCATCGAGGAGAAATACCAGACGGGCAATGGATCGAAAAATATGATAAGCTTTTAAAGTTTATTATAAAAAGGCGTATAGGTCGTGTTCAACAATGGTTCAATAAAAACACCTCAAGATTTCCTAAAGATAATAACGAGATCACAATCACTAGTTATTCACTTGAACAAGAAATAAACAAGCTAAATATGTTCTGGAATATTTGTCGACTCCGGTGTGAAAGATGTGGCTTAGCATGTCTCAAGACGAGTCGTCATGACGATGATGAGAAAGACACAAGTCATGATTGTTTAACGGATCACTTATGTCATTCTCATTGCCTCTTTGAAGAAGCTCATACCACTGCCACTTTAACTAAGTGCGCTCAGTTTGCTGGTCATGAAGGAAGGCATGCTTGCTCACAAAATCATGCTTGTAGAGCACATTGCGTTCATTCCGGAAAACGAAGTTGTCAAACCCGTTGTGCTAAAGAGATGGGGCATGAGAAATCTCTTGGAAATGAAACACATTTATGTGAAGCTAGTCGTCATTATTGTGGCGCACCTTGTTCGTTAAAAGTAGGTGGTCTTTATGAATGCCGGAATAAATGTATAGTAAGTATCTTAATTACGGAAAGTTTTTGCACATAACGAATAATGTTTAGAAATTCTCGTTAACCATTTTTTAATTTAATTTTAGATTCCTTGTGAAGATAATCATTCCTTTCATAAATGTGAAAATGAAGTATGTCCGATTGAATGTCCACTCGAAACATGTCAAAGAAAGTGCGAAAGTAGAGACCATTTTCATTCCTTCGATAAAGATGCACAACATTTTTGCGGGTAAATACGCGATATTATTTAAGCTTGAAATAAATTCAGTTGCATCTAATTGTTATTATTATAGAAACGAACACCAATGCCCAAAAGAATGTGAAGAAAATGGAATTTGCAAGATCATAACCGAACCCACTGCGATGCTTGGAGAACAAGCCGAGTATGTTAATAAGTTTGGTAGCTTTATGTTCACAAAGGTAATATTTTCATATACTTATAGATTCTATATTATTGTATAAAGCTAATTTTCTTTAATTTTAGTATTCTCAAACATTCCAACGACTTCAATGTTGTAAAAAAATTCCTTCTTACAAATTCAAACATGAAGGCAAACATGTCCATGAAGTAAGAAAGTTTCATGAATGTGATACATCCTGCCCTAATGATGAGGGAAAGCATATTAAAGAAGAAAATGACAAGCAAAGTTTTCATTACTGCGATATCAAGTGTCCGAATTGTGCTTACTATGTGAGTAATCCTTTTACACGAATTATTTTCCTTTTGTATATGCAATAATATATTTCTTATAATTTAAGTGCATATTGCCTTACAATCATGGTCAAATGCATAATACTGAACATAGTAAGTGGTTAAATAGGTACTTATACTTCACATAATTCAGAGTAATACTGATTATTATTATTTTTTCAATAGACACTGTCCATGGAAATATGCTTTTGACCACCTTTACATGTGAAGATGAGGAATTCGTATTTGAAGGTCCAATTCATATTATTACAAAAACTAGTTTACTTTATAATCTATTCATATACTGAAATCTTGTAATTATAGGGCGTCGCTTGAATGTTGGAGATCATGGTGACTTTGTCCTATGCCACAAAGTAAGTGTCTATTAATATTTAATTATTGTAATGTTTTTGTATTTAAATTCTTTTTTTGTAGTTATGTGAAAATATGGGTCGTCATCGGCATATCGATTTTTGTAAAGATCCAGACGTGTGTGAAAGTGAAGGAGGCTCTCGAAAAGAAGGTGTATTAGAACATTTAAAAGACAAGAACATTTCAATCAATGATTCATTTATTTAATATCTTGAAATAATGATTTTGATTTAATAACAGCGAGTATTAGCCCTGAACCTATCCGAAAAAAGGATTATATTTCTCACCGTGTCTTTTGGGAACGAACAATGTTTCAAGGTATTGGTCAAGTTATAGTTCGGATTAGTTTGTGCTGTACAAATATTTTAAAACTTTTTCTATCAATTTAGATCCTTACTCAAAAGAAGATCGAGAAAATTTCAAAAAGTGCGATCATGAATGTGTCGATGAGAAGCATAGAAATGTGGATGAAAAGACTGGTCGAGAACTTTTCAAATCTTTTTGTACTCAAGAAATATTTCACGCTCCAGTCGATCCGAAAACCTTTTCCCTTGGACAGACAGGTTATATCTCAACTGACGGCCACCATTTTACGTGCGAAATTCCAACGGTTTGCGACTTCCATATTGTCTTTGTTGTGGATAAAAGTAATTCCATGAGTTCAAGTGATTGCAAACCAATTTGTTCAAGCACTGTCACTTCAAGATTGAAGTTATCGCACAATAATCGTCTCGGAGCTGTATATGATGCAATTTACACCTTTATTGAAAGCCGTCGTTCTTCACGGAAGGCATCACCATCTGGGAAAATGGCGGTGGATCGCGATACCGTATCTTTGGTCCTTTTTGATGATAATGCTAGAACTGCTTTCGAGAATGAAAGTTTATCAAAACCTGAAGAATTATTAACAAAGATGATGAAATTTAATCCTAATGGTTGGACACCTTATCAAGTTGGTATTAAAAAAGCATCGGAAATCATTGACAAATACTACAATTGCTTAAAGTAAGTTCTCGAATGTAATTAAGTTCCCTTTTAAAATGGTTAATTTATTTATTGATGATGTTATAATAGGACGGACATTATTATATTTTTATCGGATGGTGAAAACACAGGCGATGATCCAGAACCTGAGTTACGAAGACTTTGCGAAAAAGAAATGAATAGAGGGTAAGTATTAATTCTTTAAATTTCAAAGTTAACCGAAAAAATAACTATAACTAAAAATTATTAATTGTGTTGTGCATAAATAGATCACCGATCTTTTTATACACTATTATGTTTAATAATTCCTTTTCTTTGAGTTGTCATTATGAGAGTCAGCTTAAACGAATGGTTGATATCGCTTCCGAGTACCTTCCTAAGACGAACGACAAAGTCTCGTTAAAGTGTCAATATGTTCTCGCCACGAATGAGACAAAGTTGACTGAAAATTTTATCTCGGTGGCTGTAAGTTTACGAGATCATCATCGACCAATGTTAATGCGTAAATAAAAGAACTGGCAACCATCAAGTGAATCCATCTATTAATCTGTCCATATTTGAGATAAGGTTTATTATTACTCGATGAGTAAATTAAAAATAAACTATTTCATATAAAATGAATGAATTTACAAACTCTCTAATTGAAACTTTTTTTTTTATTGATATATATAATAAAAGATAAAATATAAAATTCAAAATGATAAGATTATATACATATGTTTGCGAATCTCAAATAAAATAAACAAATTAATATTTACTTATCTATGTATTTGGTATAGAGGTTACTATAATATCTGTACTGTACTCATGTTTCCGAGCCATTAACCTATAAATCTACTTTATCCACCATTGAACTCGATTCTTTTTCATTGTCCTAGTGAGAATAGTTATCTCAACTACTTTTAGTTTACTATGCTATGTACTACAAAATTTGTGAAGAACCCAATTCGATATAAATATTCATTATGGTTCCTTAAAGAGATTCGTAAAGTTAAGAAAGAAACTTTAAATCAATTATTATGATAACCTGATAAAAATTTATCGTTACTTAAACTTGTAAGCTACTGTACATGGTCAAATATCGAGGTTAGCATACATAAATACATACAATTGTGTTTGAATGGAGTTCTTATGAATTTTTTTATTTTTTTCTTTTGAGAACGTGTAATATTATAAATAATTGTAAAGTAGATTTTTTTGCTTGGTACTTCCAGCAACCCATGAACCCATTGTTATTATCCAATGATAAAGGATTTTTAATTGTTGAAAGACCAACACGAAAGTGAACGTAAAACAAAATCGTCATTAAACAACCAGCGAGATAATAAATACTATACATGATAAGCCGATAAGATAAAATTGTGTTCCTAGACAAATATGTTAAAAATTTCCTCTTGTGATTGGAAATATTTGAGATACATATAACTTTATTGCTAACAAGGAGGTGGAGTTAAAAATACAAATTGTAATGTTCAGTGAAATTCTGTAAAATCACAAGTTCAAGCAATGTTGATAAAGTGTAAATAGGAGATTGTAAAAACTGGACTAAACGATATATACTGACAACATAATGCATTGAAAAGTTTTCTCATACAAATGTCAAATGTCAATAAAAATAACGAAAACAGATATTATAGTAACTATAAATAAGAAATCTGAATGTTATATTACAAATTTCATTCTTGTTAGAATAGTTCTAGTTGCATCGTTTGAAGAAATTACATATCAATGTACTGTATATTTAGGAAATCAAGTTCTGATGAATTTTTTTGAACAAAATTGGGATGTTATATTACATTCTTAAAGAAAAGTTCACCACCTTCACCTCAATGTCTTCACGAATTTATTTAAATGATTTTGGAGTTTGATGGTAGCAAATTTTTGACTAATACATAGGCGAGCTGATTTTTAGTTAACTTTTGCTAACGTGTGTATGGAATCTAGTAGCATACCACTAAACACCAAAGGTTACAAATCCAGCAAAGATTGAAATGCCAAAATGCATCTAATTATACATAGTTAAAATATATATACTTTGCTTAACTCGTTATGTTAGGGATGTTAAGGTCTATGGCAAAACTGGGTTTGAAGCTTCAGGATTTTCTGTTCAAACGAAAGAAATGTTATTATCCACACAAAATTAAAATTCTTCAAATTAGTCAATTAATATACCTAAAGTCATATTCATCATATGTTTCCTTATTGTAAGCAATAAAAGTCATTTGATCGAGCAAGGATTCAAGAGGAATACAATTATAAGCATCTGGTAATAAAAAAAAATTTTTTTTTTAATTTCCCTTATTGTTACTGGTTACGAATGGGATTGAAAAAATTCTTGAATAATACATATATATCTTTTTGTTTTTATAGTGAATAAATTCAGGAAATTTTTATTCATCTGCTGAGCAATGAGAAAAATCAGAGCGCAAATTTACGAATGAAAAAGTAAAAAAAATTATTGAATTTAAAAAACAAGTATGTGGGGATACCAATAAAGGATTTATTATTATTAATCAAAAGAGAATTGATCCATTGTCATTGAATCTTCTCTGTAAAAATGGAATTTTTGTATTGAGACATGCCAAGTGAAGAAATATGGAAAGGTGATTTATTGTATTATGTATTTATTTTATTTTTTTTGACGCAAAATTGTTTTTTTTAGATTATAACTTATTTGTAGAGGAGTTGCACAAAATTTTGTGAATGATTTGTCTCCAGAAGTTCTCATATATGCAGGACTTATTTATGAGCAAACTCTTGGAGAAGAAAAATATACCTTTGTTGAAGAAGTTAAAAATCCAAAATCTGTTACGATATTAGTTAAAGGACCTAATTTTCATATAATTACACAGATTAATGATGCCATTCGTGATGGATTACGAGTCGTAAAGAATGCAATTGAAGATAAATATATAGTACCAGGAGTAGGAGCATTTCAAGTTAGGATTTCAGCTTACTTGAATAAATTTAAAAGTTCAGTCAAGGGAGGGTCAAGCTGGGAATTCAAGCATTTGCAGATGCAATGTTGATAATTCCTAAAGTTTTATTACAAAATGGAAGATTCAATGCTTAGGATACTATTGTTGCTTTATAGGTGAGTTTAATCATTATATTTAAAAAATGTTTTAATTTAGAATTTTGTGCACGCAAAATGACCAAAACATATTATTGTATTATACTATTATGTAAACAAATATTTGATCAATGAGTCTTTTTTTTAATAGGAGGAATTTGCAGCAGAACATATTGTAGGAGTTGATTTAATATGGGAAATACACTTGACCCTATTGTGAATAGTATTTGGAATAATTATCGTGTCATTCATCATATGTTGCATTTCTGGTAAGACTATTAATATTATTGCTTTCCATTTGCAAATAAACTTTCAAAAAAGCTTAAACTTTTAAAAAGCTTAACCTTTTACAAGATATTTAATTTTTGTTTCCATTTAATGTTCGTTACTGCTACTCAGACTTCTTCTATTCTTGATGTTTCCTTGTGTACACTTTGTCGCTGACACTACAACAGTAAAATAATAGCATTTTGTTCATCAAGTGATGTGTGACTTTATAATATTTCAAATATTGTAGATTTTACTACTACCACCACTACTCCACCGCTCAGGTCTCTAGTATCAAGCAAAAAGAGGACCTTGTGTGGCAGAAGTAACTCCTCAGCTCCTTCCCAACCTATGAACTCAGCTCAGGTGTCAACTTCAAAATAACTGGGACTTAAGACCTTATTGGAACGGATAAGTTACGAAATGGTCTCAGAAATTGTGTTACCCATTATGACTGACTCTGCCACTTCGCCTTTGACCTCATTCAGTACATATTCTTCCTCCATACTACAAAACTTATGGTTCTCTTTGACGATGTGACCTCTGATGAATACAAACTTTCTCAAGATATCCTTGCAATTAACACAGTCTTTATCTGTCAAATGCAAGGAAGAAGAGCCATTATTTACTGACGAGAATACTAGGTTAGGAAAAAAGTGCAAGACAAAGATCAGGACAATATCAGTGTGCAACAAATGACAACACTTAGAAACCACTCTCAATCGCACATTACTAATCAAAGTATAATCAAATCACCTTTAAAAGCAGCTACTGAAATGTTGGATGGGCTTGCTTATAATGCAGTTGTTCACTGGAATTGATATCGCTGTATATATACCAAGAATTTACATATTGGTCTATCACAATGAGTTTGGGTAAAACCTTAACCTATTGAAGATAAACTTAAACTTTATGCAAATGTTCATGTAGGAAAAGACGTTAATAAACATAAGGATAAGAAACTTCAAAAATTATGTGTATAGGGTGAACGCAAATTCATATGAACTATTTTGTGTATTGGAATGCTACTTCAAGGTATACATGAAAAAGCACCTGCAAATGTTATTGATGAAGCAATTGTTGAAGCATTGACTGCTAGGTATAATTATTATTTTTTATTTATTTATTTAAAAATTTTATTTATTTTTTGATTTATTTTTTGATTTTTTAATTAATTTAGGGATAAGATAATTAATCATAATATAGAATCAAACACGAAATAACGAGGTTCATCTTTATCATTTTGATCTCAAAAAGATTTATGATAAACAATAACAATTCATTTACAAAATTTTTCAAAATCCATGCGGAACAATTTTTATGTCACCTATCTCCACAATTCATCAATGCTTTCCACACATCGTCATAAGCCTGTTGTCACTCTGGATCATAATAAACATGATTTGTGGCCTCTTCGTTTTGAAAAAAAAGACATAATAATAAGTGACCTGTTCATCACAAGATAACATCTGATTGTAAATTCACATATATTCAAAAACTAATGAATGGAAATTTTCATGGGTTTATGAGATGCAAAAACAGTTCTGCGAAACCCAAGCAGATGGTTCTATTCATGCAGTCTCCATTGATCCTGGTGTTCGTATACACTTCACATGATACTCTCTTACTAAAGGTGTCGGTAAAATTGGCCAATATGATATTGGACGAATTATTCGTTTATGCAAATATATGGATAATCTTCATTCTCTAAGGGACAAGCTGGCTTCCTCTAATTCAAAACGTAAAAATAAAAAGGCCTTGCGACTTGATAATGCAATTTCTCAGATGATACAAAAAATCAAACATCTGCAAAGTGAAATCCATAAAAAGAGCGTTACATTTTTTACTCGCGAATTTGATGCTATTATCATTCCTCCTTTTGAGGTATCAAATATGATAAATCAAAAAACAAGAAATATAACGTGAAAAACTGTTCGTAAAATGCTCTTTTGAGCTCACTATAAATTTCGCCAATATTTGGTAGCTAAAGCTGAAGAATTAGGGGTCTATGTTATTATCCAAAATGAGGCCTATACTTCAAAAAGCTGCAGCTGGTGTGGGAGTGTTCAAAAAATAGGAGGATCTGAGATGTACAAGTGCCGAAGTTGTAGAGCTGTAATGGATCGAGATGAAAATGGTGCTCGGGGAATTTTTCTTCAGGCTTTGCTTAATGGAGCCTTGATTCTCTCCGAGATCATGCAGGAAATAATAGTAATACTTAGTATTACCTATTATTGATGTATTACAATCCATCCGGTCAAACTATGGTCTGATATACACCATGAAAAAAAGATTATCTGATATTGCTCAAATGGCCAAGGATTATTTAAAGTAAATGTTGAGCTTCTACTAAAAATCCAAGACACTAACTTGACAACCAGTTACATCAGAAAGTGTCCTTTTCACTTAACTATTACAAAAACAGTTTAATCCTAAAACAGCTTTCGATAAAAAAAAAAATAGAAAAAAACAAAATTAATATCAAATTTATGGGATTTATTAGAAAACAATTATATTATTATGAAATGTAAATTTTTGAGAAAGAAAATTTTATTATTTATAATAATTTCTTGGGCAAATAACTATTTTTTTTTGATGATGTATGATTGTCGGCGTTCAAAATTGTGAAAAAATCGCTTCGTCATATAAACCAAAAATCAAATTGAAACCGAAAAAACGATACGATAAATCGCGATTAACCAATTCCTTATTTCTTTATTATTATAAAACGAAGCGTATAGATTTCGGAACTCAAGAAATGACCAAAATAAAAAGTAGTATAAAGAATTTTAACTGGCCTAGAATTTTCTAATGATCGCTGACGTCATCTTATTCTTATACCTGTTTGAACTTCTAATAAGTCTTTATTTATTTTAAGTGTTACTAATCTATCTGGTGAGAATTATCTTGAAAGTGAAATATTTTAAAAGTACTTTTAATCTTTTAATCTCATTAATCATGAATTTCTTGAAATGTAGCATAAATATAATTCATAAATTCAATGAGAAAGCCAGATAAAAAATTTATGCGATAATATACTCGATACACCGTGATAAAGATTTCTTATTATCGAAATAATACAAAAAAAAAGAACTTGTCAATTAACACACTAAAACTGTCTGCGAATTCTTTTTGCACTACGGTCGTTTCTTAATGCGTAAGGCTTGTGCACCATCTCAGTCTTTAGCATATTAAGGAGATGCTTAGTTAAACATTTTTTGACTTATCTATGAGATCCGGATTATTAAGTAATGTTAAACTGTAGAAATAATTGATTATTAAAATAAAGAAAACAAATATGGGAATCATTTATAATATTGATTGATATTAAATTTCAAAAATCTAAATGGGCTAACAGTCGAAGAAAAATATTTTTGTTGTTTTCTAATAAATCACGTAATTTTTCTATTACATTCTTAAAATACAATTAGCAAAGGTGAGTATTAGTATTTTATTACTAAGTTCTCTCAAATCGGCTTTTTTATATTATTTATTTTAGTAAGAATGTAATATATAAATGGGTGACTTCACTTTCACACGACACAAAAACAAATTTGTTAAGAGCAGTTTATTGGTTATAAACGAATGTAAGGTAAGCAGAATGATTATAATGTTCATTTGAATTTATTAATAATAGCGAAACACTAATTTAAAACAACGTGTATTATCTCAATCGTGTTGTTTTTTTATATGTTTTTATCGTTATTATTACATGAAAATTGTGAATTAAATGCCATTTTCATTTCTTTTATCAATCTTCTTAAATTTCTTTCTCTTTAGGCAAAACCCACCATTTTTATATTAATTTTTATCAAGGACTTATTTTTTGGCCACGGAATAATGTAAATTGGAAGACAAATTTTCTGGAAATTGATCTATAAAGTGTCGAGATAAAAAAATTATCATTTTATAACTATCAAAAGCTCGTTCAAAGATTATTAATAAAAAGAATTCAGTGGTTTCATATTTATCAATAACAAATCCCCTCCGATTTAATGATTTTGGAAAAAGTCGAAATTTCAAATAAAAATGTTCTTAACAAAAGGTCGGAATGTTTGGGAGTTAAATTATACAATTTTCAATGCGGATTGATCATTTGATCAGTATACTATTTAGTATATAACGCGGTCTTACATACTGTATATGAAGCATAAAATTTTTTTATATAGAATAAAGTGAGTATAATAAGAAAAGAGTAAATGAACAAGTACCATCATTTATATGATTCCTTAAAGTGAGAACTAGCCAACGTTAATCCTTTATACAAAGTTTTACCTAGAATTGCACCTTCTCATAGAACATGAACACACGCTGTATTTATAAGTCGTTTTTTTGCTAAATTTGATTTCCCATCGTAAACACCGGAAGAAATCAGTTGATGTGACGATCAACTACTGGTAAAATTTCAATGACTTAAGCTACTTTGTTCTCGGTCTTCCGGTTCGAGCTAAGAATTTGAGGTAATCCCCATATTATTTAAATTAGAAAGCTTTACAGATAAATATCGCAGACTTTGTTTCAGTTATTTCATTTATTGACAGCATCATCTTCATCATCATATTTACTTCAAGAGATATTTAAAGGGTGTGAGAAAAATTTCATTTTAATTATCACTGATAATGGACAGAAATGGGTCGAAAAGAACTTGGAAACACCAAAAAAAAATTTGGAGATTATCCGATTATTCTGGTCAAATTTCCTTGAACATTCTCTTATAATTATCGGTAATTCTGTCCTTTTCTTTAACTTACGCAATGAAGTTGAGTGGCTCCTGACATTTAGAAAAATAATTTCTTAGCCCTCTTTATGTGGAACAGTTCTAGCACTTGATTCACCTATTCCAATCGTATCGTAAACTTTAAATTTATCATTAGTTATACCTATTTAATATCAACTGCAGCATCATTAACTTTGAACGCATTGCCTTCATGTCTCCTTGAATCAGCATGTTAGCTATAGTCGACTTTCCACTCCCAGTTAGTCCAAATAGAACAATAGTATTTTCACTCATATTCGATATAAAATATAAAGTATGACGAGAATCAGCAAACATTTTTTAAGATGATATAAATATTGACTAGAAGTGTGCCCACTTAGAATGACTCGAAGTCGAGTTATTAAGACAGAGATTTAGAAAGCTAACGACTAATTCTATTACTAATACTTATTTCCTCATCTGGTAAAAAATATATAGAAACCGATCATCATAATGTTTTTTTAATCGATTGTTTCAGCGTTGATTACGATCACTTTGGGCTGTCGTTTCCATTAAATAACATTGTTCTCTTTATTAATAAAAAATTTATTTTTATTATTAATTAACTCAATTAAATAAGGTAGAAAATTTTTTTTAAGCTCTTTTTCGGGTTAGATCTCTTCCTTCTTTTCTATTGGATTTTTTTGGATTTATTTGTTTGGTTCACGATTAAATAATAAGGTAGACAATAACACTCGGAATACTACAATATGTGTGGCACATTCGATTGATTGATTAATTTTTAGAAATACTCTTGAATTATGTCTAATTTAATAATCAACTAGATTCATGATCATGGCTGTCTAGGAGGCCAGCCGTAATATATATATTTTATTTAATTTTTATAAATATTATTATTAATTTTCTGGTATATATATGTAGTATGTAAAGATTATATCATATTTTATTAAAAATCAATTAATTTAATTTAAGGCGAAAAATAAGAGTTTTTAATTATAAGAATGGTTATATATTTTCGTAAGTTATATATTTTTTATATTATTTGATTACTGTAAAATAATTTTATTTTTAAAATAATTTAAACAATTATAAATTAACTAATAGTAAGATGCTATAGTAATAATATTCAATTAAACTAAAAAAACTAAGAAATATTGAATTTTTTATTAAATGGTTCTTTGAAGCTTGTAATGATATTAATGCAGTACTAGTCACAGCTAATCTAACTAATTTATGATATTTGATTATAAGTCATAGGAACTTGTGAAAATTAAATAAATTTGCTTGAGCAGGTCTACAATATTTTTGTATAATAATATTTAAGATTTAATTACTTATTTTCTATTCACTGAATGTTATTTAACATATGGTAAAATTGTGTACTCTACTTTTAATTTAGCATAAAGTTCAATAAAAGTTTGGCCAGAGTTATCTAAAAGTGCGGTGATACCCAGTTGGTTAATTAGAGGGAAATGGTTGAAAAGATTTTAGACATTCAAATATCAAAACTTGCACCCTGTATATAAATCGTAATAAAAATTATTGGAAATAAAAAAAAGTAGTAAAATTTGATGAAAATTATATAGAAAGTTATTTAAAAATTTATATGCTTGGAAAACTGATTTGCTAGCAATCATCGCATATTAAAATTTTAAATATATATAATAACTAATTTTTTATTCAATATGAAAAAAAAGACTATATTCACAAAAAAATCATAAATGTTTAATTAAATCTGCAATTTCGTATTTGAAAATGTTAAAAATCATTTAGTATATGATGAAATACTACTGAAAAAATAATTTAAAGACATGGAAATTTTGATGAATACTTCTAATATTTTAACGGTTTATAATTTCATATAATTTTTATTATTAGTCATTTTACTTTAAGAATGAAAGAAAACCTTTATTAGAAAGAAAATAACATTTAAATTGTTTATGAATTACAAAGTATAATAAATTTATGGCCACAATTTTCATCGATACTTAATCCAATTTATCAATCGCAATTTAAATTATGAAAAACATATCTATACCACTTCAAAAGAAACTTGAACATCAAGAAAAGTTATGTAGAATGAAGTTATTCAGATTGGAAATAGTTATTGAGACGTTGAGATTTTTTAAAGATATAGGTTTGACTCGAATTAAGGAATCAGGTAAATTTGTAGAATAATTATTTTAGTAAAAGAGCAATCAAGATCCGTTAAGGTTGGTAGGATAGTTATTTGAGTATTGGAGCAATTAAGTTTCGTTAAGGAGGTGGGTAAAGTTGGTAGGATAGTTATTTTAGTAGAAAAGCAATTAAGTTTCGTTAAGGAGTTGGGTAAAGTTGGTAGGATAGGATAGTTATTTCAGTATAAGAGTAACGAAATTCCATTAAGAAGTTGAGTAAAGTTGGTAGGATATTAATTAGAGTATAAAAGCAACGAAGTTCCATTAAGGAATTGGGTAATGTTGGTAGGATAGTTATTCGAGTATAAGAGCAATGAAGTTCCGTTAAGGAATTGGGTAAGGTTGGTAGGATAGTTATTTCAGTATAAGAGCAACGAAATTCCATTAAGGAGTTGGGTAAAGTTGGTAGGATAGTTATTCGAGTATAAGAGCAATGAAGTTCAGTTAAGGAATTGGGTAAAGTTGGTAGGATAGTTATTCGAGTATAAGAGCAATGAAGTTCCGTTAAGGAGTTAGGTAGAGTTGGTAGGTTAGTAATTTGAGAATTGTTACAATAGAGCTTTGACAATTTTCGAAATCTTTGCAATCCTTCTGAGGTATTTAATATGTTATCCTTATTGGTATCTGTAATAGTTAAACTATCAATTGTATCATAAATGAATGATTCAATATTACTGATTCTTTCTTCCAATTCATTAATAATTTCTTGATTGGCTTTCATTACTTCTTCTTGTTTTCTAAACTTTTCTTCAAAATTACTAATAGTTTCTTGCTTGGCATTGGTTTCTTCTTCTCGCTCTCTAATCTTTTCTTCAAAATAGTTGAATTGTGACCAAATCCTTTCATTACTTTTCTCTAATTCCTTAATTCTAGTTTCCAAATCTTTTAGATTTTTTTCTAGATTGTTCTTTAAAACCATTTTTTACGCTTAAATCTTACGCTAATTTATTCTGGTGACTATTTCAAATATTTTATTTATTTTATTTGCCAAAATATGTTCTTAAAAAAAAAAAACTACAAAAGAGAGATTATTTTTCAGCCCTCGGTTAAATATTTCCATTTGTAAATGATATTCTAGTTTATGTTACTTACCTAAAAAAAGTTAACTGCTATTTTTTATTGCATCACGTTATTCGTCATTTACGTTATTATTTTTAATCATATAATAATAAATATATACAGTATAATTTAAATGATATGACAATTTAAATTTACTAGAATTTGAGGCTGTCCTGTTTATCCAAAATCCCGAGTCTCATAACTAGAGAATACAATACGACATTTCCGCCGCAATTAAATCACACTTTGATCTTTTGATTGCATAATTCTTTTTCTTGAATTTTGATAACATTTACCTTTAGATCTAATTTGTCAGGCTAGAAACTTGCTTTTCTTTTGATTTAAATTGAATTAGATTTATATCTAAAATAGGTCTCTAACGGTCAAATACTAAAGTATTTCCAATAAATATATTAGTGTACTTATAGATTTCTCTGAATATATATATTGAAGCAAAGAATTAAAACAATCCCTATTGATGAAAATGCAAAAAATATTAAGGGTAAGAAATGAAAGTTAATATTTTTTTAATCGGGACGACAAATTTTTATTAATTATAAGCGGCTAACTTTAGAAGATTTGCTTTTGAATTTGATTTATTTTAGCAAGAAGATTGTTTCAGAGAACTTTTAACAAATTGCGAAACGAAAAGCTTCTGTTCTATTAAAAAAATATTTAATCAATCATGAATCAAAATTTATGTGGCATTTGCTGGCGGACTTGATGGTAGGGCGTGGATTCTTATTTTATTTTATTTTTACAAATGCTATTCAAATGTTGTTTCGTTTTCAGTTTCTTCTTTTTTTTTGAATTTACTACATTTTTAATAAAAACTAAATTCATAGTTATGGCCGGCCATGGACGGGCCTTATTAACACTTTTTTTATTATTATGAAAAAAATGAAAATAAAAATTTTATGAATCAACAAAGGCTATTTTATATGTTTTATTTTATTATGAAATTATCAAATTTCATTTCTTTTTTTATTTAGATTCGATCGGTTCCTTCTCTTAGGCTAAGAACCGGACGGCGAAGGTAAGTTTCGATTTATTTTTTTATTTTTCTTTTTCTTATTTGGTAATTAGTTCTGATTATTAATTATATTTATTTGATTTGATTAATTTTTTTTTTTTTCTTAGGCGTTTTCTGAGATTAAGAAATTTCTGCGTAATAATTGACGCCGTCAGTAAGACAACATCAAGTAAGTGTACTATCTTTGTGGATTGCCCTTCCGACAGTCCCGATTTCATAGAAAATTTATGGGTTATTGTACAGTGGTACGGTAGCATAAAATATCAGGGATTTAAAAAATGTTATGAAAGAGGAATGTTCTAAATTTCTCAGTATATTATTAAAAATTTAGTTGGATCGAATATTTTATCATGCTATTTATTTCTTTTTATCCAAAATATTGTGTTTATAAACTGGTTACACAGGCTTAACATTAAACATACCGCACGTAGAAAAAATTTTTTTTTTTGTTACTTTATAACAGATTCTTTACATTAACCAAATACAAAGTATTGAAAATATATATATATATATATATTTTTTTGTTTGCGAAGAAATAAATATTTAATTAGGGAATTATCAATAATATCTGATAACAATTTAAAAATACCCACATAAGAAGATATGATTTCAAAAAGCAATCAAGTTTACCGTTATACGAAATAGCAAGCAGAACAAATTTTTATTTTGATCACTCATGACCTAGTTTGAATCTTGTCGAGAATATCAAAAAAAGCGAGAAAGATTATGTAGATTTTCATGAAATTGCCCAAGTCTTTTAATGGATGAAGAAACAAATAAATTGTATTTTCATGTCATATGGTTAGAATACAGGTGCACGTTTTATCCTTTACTTTGTATAAGGTAATATTTATGACTTTTTTTTTTAAAAAAAAAAAAATAATTCTCCAACGTGTACCTTTTTTTTTTTACATAATAATTAAGGACGTTCAATTCATTGCACGTTGTAGACGTGCCTTGACTTCATGATATGGATACTAGTTTATATTTGGGACATTGTTATTAAATCGAGAAATAAGTCAACGAATTTATGTTCCGAAAATTGAAAGCCGTTCATTTAACGCAGCAAAAGTTATCTTCTGAGGACTATTATTAACCTATCATCAAAAAATGATTTTAACGCATCGAAAACTATAATTTCGAGAAAAAGAAAGATAACATGATCGCTTTCAAAACTGCCATTTTTATAGAATTATTTTGTATATTAGCTTGGTTATTTTTATCTTTTTTTTTGTTTTTATTATAATTTGCACATTATAATTCTTGGTACTTTTTTGATCTATATTAATTATAATCATAGCAAAAATATTATATACTGTATATAAAATAAAATTAATTATATTTATATCTAATAACTTGAAAAATAGGATGCAATAATATCTCGAAACTAGTAGTATTCCTAGCAATCATATATAATTATGATTCCATACAAACCGAAAAAAAAGAGAAATAGTCGTGTATATTGATTTAAAATAAGGGTTAAACATGTTTTCAAAATCAAATACAAATTTTACATTTACAAATAATCTCTTAATTTTCTCTATCTTTCTCTCGGTATTGACATTTACATACAAATCAGGAGAAACAGGAACGAACATTTTTTTTTATTATAAATTAATCAGGTTCGATTCAATAGTTTAATTGTCTTTTGGCGAAATTATACGAGAATTCAATTACTCCTTATTATTAAATAACAAAATAATTATAAGATGTCTTTGATATTATTCTGTAATATTTCTGACATACTTTGTATATACGAGACAATACATTAGAGTTAGCCAATGGGCATTTTATTTGAATCTGTTTTGATTTATTAAAATTATTATCTTAAATTAAATATTAAAAAAATTAACAACTTTATTTTCACTACTTTAGATAATTTACAAGGTTATATTGATCTCAATAATTTCGTCCACTACGATTAAAATCACCAAAACAAGGTACGATCTATCAACTGTAAAACCATTAATAATCTTTGGGTTATGGTACTCTTTTGAAGTTCATTTATGATTTTAGTCTCTTTAAAACACGTACTTTACATAATAATCGCCTATAGAGAACAATCCTGAATTATTGACATTCTTATCAGGTTAAAATAAAAGCCCAATTTAAATATTTGAATAGTAATTTAGAATGAATTAAAAAATGTTCTTAGAATAGTTTAAATTACTTAAAGTGTCGCTATTATGACAATTTTAGCGTGATTAATTTTTTTTAAACTTTGTTTATAAAAAAAATACAATATATAAATTTTTCGTAGATATTATTGCGTGTAAATGGCATTATTACATCGAATAAAATGAATAAAATTAAGATAGTTCAAAATGTAGAAAGTACATTTACAAAGTTGTTTTATAATAAACAAACTTGTGCAACAGACAACGAGTTTATTTATTAGATGAAAACAACCATACACATTTTGAATAATTTAATGAATTCCATACAGGGATATTTATAAACATTATATATTTAACTAAAGGTGGAGGCTCTATAATTTTTATAACAGATTGGATTTGACAAATGGAATTTATATAATGTTGCTATATTAGATGGTAATAAGCTTTCAATCACCTTAGTATCATGTGGTCCGTTCTGGACGATCATGTAACCAGCCGATATTCTAAATTTCCTGGAAATTTGACTGTTAAATCATATGAGCTCCCGGAGATATTTTTTTTTATTTTCTTATTTATGTCACTTTTTATTTTGAGTTATTTACTGTCATATTACCTCTATCCTTCAAATTTATCTTGTGTTTACTGTTAATTTCTAGGACTTTTAATATCTAGAATTGTTTGAGAATTCGATTTGACGTTTAACGTAATAGAATCATATGGGCTGATTGCTAGGAAAATCAGGTTCCGGGAATTTTTTAACAAAATTGAGATTTTTATTGCATTTTAGTTTTTGATGTTATTAGATTAAAATGTATTAAGCTCTTAATTTAAGTCAAAAATTTCTCGGAACCTGATTTTCCTAGAAACCCTCCCATATGTTAAATTCGGAACCGAATAAATTCGAATGAAATTCCATTTGCTTTGGAGGGATTCGGATTATCCAAATTAATCGAAATTTGAATTTGAATTTTAAATTTGACTTAATATGAATGATGCGAAGCAGAATTGTAATACGAGAGTAAGTTATAATTATAACTAGCATGAGACATTAATCTTGTTTCTTAATTTGCTATCGAAGTACCAGAGGATGATCCTTCTTTCGAATTTAAAGATGACAAGCAATGTGTGAGACCACAAGCCGCAAGATTCAGAATCTATGGTTGCGATGAAAATGGCAATGTTGTACGAGAGATCAAACTTACAGACAAAAATAATTCCGTGGATGTGAATATTTATTGGAACGTTGTGCTTGCTAATAAGAAGGCAGAACACACGCAATTCTAGGGTATCAATGAATATAAACCTGATGATCCTAAGAGAAATGCTGTAATTTTGGCAAAAACTTTGGTTATCAAAACTGTTCCAAATTATCTAAAATTTGCCAACCATCTGCAGAATGGCCGTATGATTGATGGCCATTAGTGAACAAAATTTATCATCCATTGATTTGAAGGATACAAAAATTCCAACAAAAGAATTAAAAAGAAGGTTGTGCACAGGTGCATATTCTAATAATTAGAGAAAAAATAATGGGTTCTCGTGGCACCTCCAAAATATGCACCGGGTATTCCAAATATTGTGTCGTTGTATCAAATTATTTGGGAAACCAGCATCCAAATGATCATAGGGATGTACAGTATAATAAATACTTGAGCTAATTGGTAGAAATTTGATTGGGGTATGAAAGGTCATTTATATGGCCTTGCAATACTTTGCATAGGTGGAATATTATCGTACATCCAATATTTGGCGCAATCTGCAGAACCTCTTGGGTTAATAAGAAGGCTTTTATTGGTCACGGAATCTATAAGCCAGGTCACTTTTTAAATCCTGACATGGAAAACGTCTGAAAGATAATTCAGAACCTGAAGTTGGTTCTTTTTTCTTGACATTGTGGTTTTTGCTTGATTCACCTAACGATATGTTTGTTCCATTGTCGACGAACAGGAAAGGCATTTTAGCTCTAATTCGAATACCAAAAGCTATCGCATTCACAGCTGAATATAACGGTCAGGCTTATGATTATTTTATGCCAGCTTTTTCTGGTAATAACGGAGATCTCGAAGCTAGCTCTCCAGATACGTTACTCGCGGACAATACCTGTAAGTTACATTGGCTTCTGCATAATTTAACTTTAAATTAACGATTTACTTTTCGTTAGTTGCCTACAAAAGTGGGCTGAAGGTTCTTCAAGTATAGTTTGATAGCAAAGGAAGATACCCCAAGTATCAAAATATTATGGGTAAGAGCGATAAAAAAGAAGATTACAAAGAGTTTGAAGAAATTATTTCAGAAGCTCTCTTCAAGTTGAAAGTTTTAAAAAAGCCTCACTTGGATGGTGCGTTGGAGGAGCATTCTTTCCTGGAATTGAAATGACTTTTATTGTTACAATAAGGAAACATATGGGGGCTAAGCTATTAAAATCACCTTACGGGATAAGAAATTGATTTTGAGTAAATAATGATTAAAAAAATGCTACGCCACAGTAAACATTTTCAACCAATAATAAATTGTTCTATTTTTAAATATTAAGTCGAATTAATTATTAAGACGATA